CTGCTTATGAGCGAGCATGCTTAAGCAGTCGCTGATGACCTATATACGGCACTATTATCTTTCGGCTGTGTGTTGCTTGTCTGGATTACGGAGTTCAAGCGTAGTCTGCGGCTTCTAGTCCTGAGGCTGAGTAAAGTTAATATCAGGCAATAAGTCCAGCAGCTATCTCAATCAATCGTCAGCTATAGAAAGATCGGGTTCCAAAGGCCGGATCCCTTGTGAATAAAGTCACGAAAAGTTCAAGAATCGGCAACAGGCCATGGGCCTATTTCTTCAACGCCGACACTTCTAGCTAGGCGTTTGCTACAGGGCTTTTTTAAGAGTACAATTTGTGGCCTACGGCTGCGCCCCCTGATAATGAATCATTTCTGATTGTGATTGTCTTGGAATTTCTAGAGCTGTCTTTAAATATACATCACCCACGGCACCGTAATCAATAGTTCATTTAGAATCTTGCATGTTTAGAAATATACCACAAGCATAGATACAATGGTAAAAACTAAATCATTTATAAGTTTAGCAGATTTGTGGTAATATAGACTGTTAATTGTGCGGTTTAATGGAATGTTTTACTTTCAAATTTCATTTAAAGCAACCAGGTTCAACCGAAATTTATGAATATCGTGTCGGTAACTCGCATGCACAATAAATTCTCTCAATCCCTTAATACATAACTTGATAATGCATACAATTGATTATTAATTATTATTCGTTAAAGGCGATATTGGGTGAGTGACGGTTCAGAAATTTTTACTGCTTGCAAGTTGTCAGGCAGCATGAAAAGCGGATCTATACGAAGAAAATACAGCAGTCTAACGTCCAAGTTTTCTCCTACAGCAATTCTGGGCGGGCAATAATACTTGGGACAATTGAACAATTCACAGCATGACTCGCTTTGGTCAAAATATATACACTTGAATCCATATTGTTATGTGCGATAGAAAAGGGACGTGCCAGCGATTTGTAAGCCTGAAAGCTAAGTCCTACGAGTGGAATTGAGACGGAGAATTACAAGCATAATAGCAACGCCCTACAGGAGGAAAAAAGGTAGGCCTTGCTGGTGAGCGTATAAACGTCATTTAAAAATAGATGGAATATGGAGGTTCTCAATACTATAAGCAACGTAATACAACTTTTAAATCCACGAAGTATCGAAGTATAAAGCGGTATAGAAGAGTAAATGGGATGAAGCCTTTCTGTCGCACAATTTGAAATCGTGTATGGAGTTTGGATGAGGGAGAGTCAAGCCGCAATCATAACATAACATAACATAGTGATCTCGGCGCTGAAGCGTAGGCCTGATGTGGCCTGTCGCCGATTCTTTTCCTTTTCGTGCCTTGTTTATAGAAGATCTAATATCGTTTCATTTGACCGGATCGTTTCATGACTGACGATAGTTTCAAGTAGCTACTAGACTTCCCCCGGGTTCGATAATTCATGTCTTCTCCATTGACTGCTCACGATACATAATTCTCCTCACGTAGCCAGCGGACCAAAGTGCATGTTAGCTTGTTCACTTGCTTTGACCTCTCCATTCTAGCGTACATGAACTGACTGTTAGCCCAGCATGCAGACATCTGACGTTGAAACACTGTCGATTACGGTTTGATGTCAGGTTGAAAAGTTGATCGACCAAAATTACACTCAAAATCAACGTTGACACATAACCAACACTCGAAGAGACGTGAAACAACTTTATTTCAACAACAAGTTCTATTGAAACATCTATCTGCATGCCTTATATGATGGAACAGATCAGAGAAAAACGTCTGAACAATTGGAGTTTGATAAACAAAATAACGGGTTTGATCGTTATTATCATTAATACAGTACAAATTTCTCATGCTAACAAATATTAAAAATTTTACACGATTAAAGCAATTTACGAACAACGCTCAGAATTTCTATTGGAGAGCTCGAGATATCTTATCATGATCGTTTATGTCATTGTTTTGTAGTCTTCCAAGTGAGAATAGAATGCGCTGCAATGCTCGATCTGACAATAGGTTGTCATAAATTTGTTATCTTTCAGTTTGAATGCAAACGTAGTTATACATTTGTCGAGGCCTAATATCTAATAGTCTTATCCGCTATTTTGAGTTGCGACGGAGGGAGTTTTTCGTTCACGTGTTTTGAGAAGACGACAATATTTCGACTGGGTGGCACAGTTTTTCAGGCTCGATCAACGTTATTACTAGGATTATATTTCAACACAAATTCAGTCTTACGTATATATTGAATTCAATAAACCAATTTATTTAAACATCGAATTATTATCGATGTTTAATCAAATGTTCTTTCCGGTAGGAACTAAATCCTGATTGACAGATGTTATTCCCGACCAATGTCTCTTTCGGCACATTTGCATTCGTATAAAATATATTTAAGGTAGTGAAATTTCTAATTTGTTTTATTCTAAATTTGTTTTTTGCTGTTAGCTGTTATGCTCGGATTATTCGATCAAACGGACTATTAAAAAACATTAGCGTAACAATATTATAGCTCCTAGTACCTGAATATGCACTTATGTATACATTACCGGAAACACCGCCGCGAAGATGACATAATTAAGGGTAGCGTTATGATAAAATGAAAGCGATATCACGACTGCTTTTTAGCTACCAACTCTTCGGAAGCTCTGTTCAGAGTACATTCGGCGGCAAATGAGTGGTTATTAGTAGAACTAAAAATATACGTTCTCGATGCAACGCTGTAGCGCGTTTAAGGCCCAGTGGGGATGTGAGCCGGAGGCCGGCTTAAACAAACTTCACGCTAGAGGGCATAACAGCCTATGAAGTCTGTGCCCAAAGCCATAGCTCCAGATGTCCACAGCCACAAAATAAGCTTGCTAAAGGTAAGCATGGCCATACCGCATCTGGCCAAACCTCTTCCGGCCTAACTTCTTCAGGCCCAACCTACACATGTACGTTGCAACGTTTCTCCGCCCAAAACAAATCTGAGCGAATCCAACCTAACATCATCATTGGTTGCAGGAAGTTAGAAAAGCGGTTTAAGTGTGCTGGTAGAGCCACTCATTGGCTGCAAGAAGGATGTGAGCCGGGACAGCGTGAATAGGCTAGGCCAGAAGAGGTCAGGCCAGAAGAGGTTAGGCCGGAATATAGGTGCAGCCGGGATATGTGCAGCCGGATGGGGAACTGTCTGCTTATGAGCGAGCATGCATAAACATTGGCTGAAGACCTACAGCGCTATTACCTTTCGGCAGTGTGCCGCTTGTTTGGATTACGGAGTTCAAGCGTAGTCTGCGGCTTCTAGCTTTGAGGCTGTGTAAAGTTAATGCATTATTAAGCTGGGCGTTTGCTCCAAGGCATATTTAAGAGCAAAATTTATTGCCTACGGCTGCGCCCCCACCCAGTGGACATTAACCATAAAGAAACAACCAATGCCATAAAAAGACAACAGTGGCAACACAGAGTTTAGCAAAGTTTTAAAGCGGCTGTAATGGTACAGACTCAAATTATAAAGAATATTTATTCATCGGAAATTAGTAAAGTAAAAAAATTATTAGGATTTTTTAATACTCAATTATTTAGATTATTTTTATTCATGGCAAATTGTTTATTTCGAAATTAGCAGGTTTATATTTTTGTAGAAGATGAACTCTGCGATTTGTGGGGCTCTGCGCCTGTGTGCGATAGTTCTCGCGTCGTTTATAGTTTTTCAAAAAAGGAGAGATACGAGCGGGAGAAGTGAGATAGCACCGGAGAGTCAGAGACAGAGGAGGCCATCAGTCGTAAGAGGTTGCAAGAGATTCCAGGCTTAGTTATCACCATTTCGTCTAAACTATTAAGCTCGTATTAAGCCGGGTGAACGTGACAAGTATCCAACCAATGTATTTGTGTCTACCTAACCCCGCCATTCTGTGACTGTAATACGTTTGACCCAAGTTTTGCCCGCTGATCAAAGATACCTTAGCGTCATCGTGGTGACTTGTCAGTGAACTATGAGTGATTTCGTCGGTGCTGTGCAATATCCGAGCGAAGTAAGATTCTCTATCACCATTGGTCTGGAACTAACAGTGCAACCTCGATCAACAACCTCGATCATTACTGTCCACCGGCTGAACCCATCCACCCAATCATCGTCTATTGTTATTATTTATCTGCCTGGCTATAAATTTAAAATGTTCTTTAAATACATTCGCGGGCCAGTTAATAATCCTCCAGAAGGTTAAGCTTAGAGACGGATATTCCTGACAGTGCCGGACTTTTCAACCAGTGACGTCATCGAGATTCAATAGCTCCGTCATATGGGTACGGCTTCTTACGATAGTTGTCCGTGGCAGTGTCAAGCTCTTCTGTAAAGTTTACAGTTTATAATATAGGTTACTGGTTTAATTGACCTGTAAATAAATGATTCCTGATAATTAAGAATAATTTGTGTTTTTGCAATTTTTTCAATTAAAATATTAATTTCAGGTTCTTTCATTGTGCATCTCGTATTACCATCTTATTTGCAACGCAATGTTCAGTAGACTTCCGATCACGATCAGTACATGCTAGTGGTTCCCCGCTACAAGGTGTTGGAAGTGGCGCGCAATGAATAAACTGCTAATGAAACAAGGGGATCTGTGGAACAAATTGACTGCGAAAAAATATGGAGCAATCCAGAAGATATCGACTTCTTCATGGCTGCTAAATATTTACGGTTTAACCAATTGTGTAGACTAAATTATCAACAGCTTCGAATCCTCTCTTAGCCTGGAACGTATTCGCTATCGATGAAATAATCATCGCAATTGGCAATTCGAAAAACTGAAAAGCCTGACACCATTTAATTTATGAACAACCAATGCAAGAATTTTTATTTAATAAGCTAACCATTATATCATCACATAAGACCTACTTCTAGGTCGGTAGAAATCTTAAACTGAAGGGATGTGTGTGATGGTGTTTTGTCTAAAGTGACATGCACTTGCCAATATTATCCTGGCTTGAATTTTGAGTTAATCTGATGGGCCAAGGAACACACAACTTTATTAGTTTACTTTTATTAATATATCTCATTAGAGGCGCAATGAATGAATAGCAGAAAATACATCCACGTCCTTCTCTAGAAAATTTATGAAACTATAAATTTACCTTGCAAGTGACTTTAATTGCTGCTGAATTATGAAGTGTTATAAAGCAGTTTTGATGATCATCATTTTGAATGTCCACCTGACCACCTGGTTCCGGCTACCGCTCTTAAAAGTGATGTCGACAATATTAGTAGGTGACACGTGTTTAAATGACTCCAGGTAATACAGCTATGCTAATTATTCATGGTAACATTAAATGCACGTGTCTCAATATATTTGCGTTACTTTGAAGCGTTGGTGACATGTTGCATTTTGTCATGGACGAGTGCTATATATGCCCGGATATTTTCCCGTGCAGGGCGCTCGTTGTGGAGTATCTGAGATAAGCATGGCAGAATGTGTCATCCCAGAAATATGTGGCGCGTGACTGACGTAAACGGAGCTCCAGGGGTCTGACCGCCATGATGGAACAGCATGATTTTGTCTCATGTGGACCGCATGCAACAAATGTTAGATATCTTCTTGAAGTAAGTCTCCCAGATGAGCATCGTAATGCCTGCACTGTTGCGTTTGCAGATGTGACCAGTATTATTAGGCTTCAATATATTGGCCCTCACAATTATAGGTATTAAATATAAGCGAGAAAGCGTGAAATTAGATTAAAAATACGCCAATTATACCCAGAGAAAACCTAGCAGAAAAGAATTGATTGCACACTGAACAGCTCATCCTTGTAGCCATTTATCGACTTCTTCTTTAGACAAGAGTCCTGCCGTTTGAGCTTTGTTCAGGAAGTCGATGATGCTGTCTCTCTTGGCTGTCACAGGACTTCTGCCCTTGCCTGAAAAAATGGCAAAAATAAGACTGAAATCTTTTCTAGATATTAGGTTCACTGTCGACTTATAACTTCGCTTTTACTGTTTAGTACTTCACATGAAAGGTGCTTTTACAAAAAGTGACTCGTCGATAAATGATCACCTGACGGGAATATAACAAATCATAAGTTTAAAAAGTTAGAAGAATGCGTGCAAAATAAATTGAGTAAAATTATTAAAACTTTCACAACCCTTAACAATATTTCATTCATGTGCATTCGAAACGGGGCTAGGAATTTTATTGAGAGCGAAGTTTCAACAACATGACTCCATAAGACGAAGACATACTAAGTAACCCTTCAATTTATAGTTTTACGGAACTAAACGAAGATTAATTTTTTGCTTAGGTCGACTAATTTCCACTTAGGATTTTTTCAATTATTACATGCATTCGATTTTCTTAGTAAACGATACGAGTACATCACAGATTTTCCTAGTAATCGATTCAGATGAAACCTTACCACTGCCTTCGATACCGAAAAATTTGTTACAAGAGAAATTCCCAACATAGTAGAGCTGCCATCTATAGATTTTCGGTTTCTGCCTGTAGTGACACTCCGACCCCATGAACTGCACGGAGTCTTCCTTCCACAGCCTGCACACACACGAGTGTCATTCCATTGCTTCATGATCGAATCTCGTTAGCGGTTAATGTACTTACTGGAGAAGAAATTTGAACGGAATCACTAGGAAATTGCTGGGACATTAATTTTTCGTGACAATAACAGTTTCGTAAGTGAGTTATAACCATGAGCTAAAATTGCGCAAAAGTTTATAGCGAAGACAAAACGTACGCTAAAATCTTGTTGAGAAGCAAGTTCGTAACAGCAGACCAGTCCTGCGCCTGACACTCATGAGTGCACGTGAGCGCCACCAGCGCCAGCACCAGCACTCCTGCCTTGCCCTGCGGACAACACAGCGTCAGTTGTCAACTACGCAGCTTCTTCTTTGCAATCAGACGACTAAGCTTCTGTTTCTATTGCATTTTTTCTAATAAAAGTAAAATTTGTTATTTGAAGCCTGGTGCTTCAGCTATTGATAATATTCGAGAGTTAATTTAATGGACTTTTTTGAAAATTCTGTTACGTTTCTTTATAGAAAACATAAATTCGAGCTCCGTAGCACGTTCTCAGGTCAATGCATTACAAACGTAAACTAAAATCTTATATAATTAAAATTCAGGAATTACGTTACCTCACGTTACGGAAAAATTAGATGTGCTTGTTCAAGAGGTCATCCTAGAACTTTATAGACACAACTCTCACATTATAGACACATCTCTCACATTATAGACAAACTCTCACCATTGCGCTTGTATGAGGCACGAACTGTTCAACTGTGAAGGCTCTCTCGGGACCACAAGAAGGGCGTCGATTTTGTTGACGGTCTTTTGTGTTGTAACCTCTGCAAATTTATTAGGAATGTACATTTTGATCAGTAATTTTTATAGGATGTGTGTAAAACAAAAAATTAATTCTATACTGAATTTTTGTATTTATTAATGTTTTTCAATTTATTGGAAGCAATGAAAGAGCAGTCTTTAATGAAAAAATAAATCATTCGTATGACACAAAGACATGATAATTATTACATTCTAAACTCAGGGTTGCCAGATGGAGCCAAGAAAAAAAGGCCAATTTGTCTCACCAAAAAGGCCCAAAAAGGCCCCATTTGAAATTAATAGAAAAATCTTAAATTTAAGGTAGTTCTAACCATTTGCAGTGCATGCATTTACTCTCAAGGCTCTCAGACAGCAAAAAATACACCAATTTCCTCACGTGTATGAACTGAATTACCGTCAATGCTACATAAGCCGCCAGCCTGCAGCGAATTGCACGTTACTCGCCGACCGTAAATAAAACCGTATAATACATGATGTTGAGGATTCAATTGCCACCTAACAACCATAAAGCTTTTCGTTCGCGTTAGAGAGTTTGGGCTCAGTTTTGCTATTTTGCTAACAAAATAGATAGTAAAGTGGTAGGCGACATAAGTGATGTTGGCGGGGAGCGCAGCCGTGCACCACCAATTTTGTGCACCAATAAGCCCTGAATCGAACGCCTTGGATATCTCCGGACATCCACCAATCAGCCGTGAACCACTCGGCTTTGTCTTCCTCCGGCCTCGCATAGAACCTGCCGTGCATCACTAGGCCGCGGATCGAATCTGACTTCCGGGCATCGTAAAATTACGGAATTTTACGTTCACCGCATCTGTGGTTATGTTTCAGATAGCATAGTTCTGTTCCAAATTTATCGTCTTTCGACAAGTGGCCGTTCGACCGAGGGCTGGTTCGACCTACGGCCTAGATACGGACGGCTTCAAGTGATGAAGGCGACGTTTCGGAAGGCAGGACTCATGATGGCCCATTACAGCCAGGGCAGTAGTGGTCTTCGGCAGGCGACATATGTGGCGAAGTTTTTGACATGTTGGCATTGACGGTAGAATATTTATACTCGAAAGATGAAAAAATTTAAACTCATTTCTGCGGTATAGAGATGATGTGGTCCTTGCAAGACTAATCTAAATATTAAAAGTCAATCCTATAAATTTATCACAACTTTTGAAAGCGCAGGAAAATAATATATTGCCTATCATTACTTGCATAGGAAATAAAATTTATTTGTTCAAAGTGATATCTTGAAGTGACGCACACCAGAAGGCTGAATATATCGAGAAGCTGTGCTGTAACCTCAAAAAATAGTGCTAAATGTACTGCTCTTTAGAAGTGGAAACTATACTCGATTATACGCTCTGTCAGCTCTGCCGTCCATGGTTCTCAATTAATACGAGTCGGCAATTGGATATAGTCCCATGGTTCAACCAAAGTGTTGCCCAGATTAGGCGGCACTCGCTAGTGTTGCCACCTAAACCGAAGTGTTGACACAGTTTCGTTTCAAAATTTGAGTGTACTTGTCTTGGGCAAAACTGAATTTGGGTGCACTCGTCTTGGATAAAATTGAAGGACCAAATTATCATAAAAAAAACCGAGAGTTACATTTTTCAGTAAGAAAAAGGCCCAAAACGGACAAAAAGGCCAAATGAAATTTTTCAGGCCAATGCATTTAAAAAAAGGCCACATTTGCGAAATTTGGCCTGAAAAAGGCCCATCTGGCAACACTGTCTAAACTGACTGAAACAGGTATCGCTTCGCCCGTGAACAACCTGATTGCCTGGAGGCCGCTGTCTCTCTGAGCGCAGCGCTGCAGTTGACGGAATATAAAGGCCAGCCTGCACCTTAATCTTTGCTGTGGGCCAATCGTACGTCAGCAACTGTCGGTGTTTGTGCTCATGAACAGATACATCCACATGAGCGTGCGCAATGTTGTCTAACTGTTGTTCTTTTGTTTTCTTTCAATATTTGATCAATAAATGAAGAGGGAGTGATTATTGCCCTAACAGGTGTCTATACGTCGCACGATTCCAACGAGTAGACCAGAATTCTTCTATTCTTTTGGACTACTCTCAAGGGACCTGATTCATGGGAAATTCATTTTGTGTACAACTGTACATACTTGCCCGTAGCTTAGGTTGACTGAAAACCTGAAGGCGACAGAGATGAACTATCACTTTGAAATGACAACATATAAGGTACCGCAGTCACTACACTGGGTTTTTGCTGGAACACAAAGAAGCGGCCTCTATAGGTATTACGCAAAAAACTTTTTTGTATTTATAGTAGAAATATTTTTTTATTTATGTACGGAAATATTAAGGCGTCGGAAAAAGATTGATACAAAGTCGAATACGAAAAAAAAAGTTTCGTTGCCCATACTTGAACAGCCACACAAATGTCGATGACTACATTTAATGGTTGTATTAAGTAGCTACGCTTAAGTCGAGCCTGTTATCTGGTTCATATATTGTCTATGCTAATATATTATATTAGCATAGGTAATGACGACTCCACTTAAGCGGTGATTAAAAGAGCAAAGAAAAGACGTAAAGTGAAACAGTTCGCTTGCAAGATTAAATTAGCAAAATACAAGCTTCATTCCTTAGAAAATTTTTATTGTAAATAAGAATCAACAGCAGAGATCAAATTGACAGGCATCGCATACATTCAACGGTGAGTATAATCACATATCAAGGTTTAATTGAGAATATTTAGGATAATGAATTTTTCCCATGCATTATTCAGGTAAGCGTCGAGAAACGATGTCTTGGGTGCGGAATGTATGGTAGGGAAATTTATGGGGTAAAATATTGCATTATTTGAATAATCCCCTCACAAAATAATCTGAACCTAATGCTTGGCTAATGAAACAAATAAACGTGAGTAGCAAACTGATTGGATGATTGACTAAAATTAGTGACTTATCATAAGATATATAAAAACTGGATTTACCTGCGTTGGTTAAAAATAAATTGCTTGAATAATAAACATCATTTAACCCACATTTCAAGCATTGTGAATAAAATTGATATTGCGTCCTCATCCGTGGAAAAAAGAAATGTCCACAGTGGACACATAATTCGAAAGAACGCATAGTTTTCATCCGCAATAGTAGGTGCATGACAAGTTTCGCAGTGAACTACTTCTCATCCCATGCTTGTTGTCACATAACTGCCACTCTAAATCATGCCTAATGTTGAGCTGTGACCTGAGTTATGGTTATGGAGCCTCCACGTCTACAGCTCAGAAGATCATCTTGCAGAGATACGTTTTGTACCCAAAGAAAAATCTGCACATGCACAGTCCTTTGCACAGTTAGTGAACAATCAATATAATTATAATCCATAATTAATTAAATGTCAGAGCATTGAAATTCAGCCTCAGCGTAAAGTCCGACGTCTCCATAGTAATTGGCCAACTCTGGCGTGGCTAAAATCCTGTGGTATAACGCGGACGGAAAATTTAAATGATTATCTGCCTATACAAAGTGAGAGCCTGATCCCGCCGAAAGAAGAGTTCACCTGCCATCAATGAAAAATTTGACATCAAACATTATTTTCGTGATGTACAACATTATTTAACGTGATGTACAACATTTTTCGTGATGTACAACATCAAACATTATTTTCATTCGATAATTTTTATTCATTCAACAGTGCAGTGAAATAAACCTCTATGGAAAATACACGTTCAGGATGCAAAGCTGATCGAAGTGGAGTAGCTATGATGATTATGATTAGCAGATGATTATGTGGTACAGGAAACTGTGATAGTGAATAATTTCTGATAGTGATTGGTTTGTGATAGATGTGCAATATTTATTGACATGTGATAGTGATTAATGCGTGATAACGATTAATATGTTATAGCGATTGATTTGTGATAGCGATTTAATTGCGATACTGATTGAAATGTGACAGTGATTGATATGTGATCTTGGTTTATGTATGTGGAATATGCATCACATTCGGTACCGTAATCCATAGTTCATTTCGAACGATAAGTATCATGCATGTTCATAAATATATCACGGGCATAGAAGCAATGGTAAGAATTATAAAATCATTCACGAGTTCAGCAGGTAAGCAGTAGCCTGGACCGTTGTGCGGCTTTATGGAATACTTCGCTTTAAAATTCCATGTAAAGTAACCATGTTCAACCGAAATTTATGAATATCATGTCGGTAACTTGCATGCCCGATAAATTTACTCAATCCTATTATACACTGTACTTAATAATGCATACAATTGGTTAATTATTCATCACAGGCTATATTCGGTACGTACAAGTTGTTGCGCAGTATAACAAGCGTACAATTTGTTAATCAGTATAACAAGCGGATTTATACGAAGAAAATACAGCAGGCGTAACGTCCAACTTTCCAACAGTAATTCTGGGCCGGCAATAACACCTGCTCGGGATAATTAATAGCGGAATGCGTTTTAGTCACAAATTATACACCTGATCCCATATTGTTATATACGAAATAAAAGTGAAGATTACATACGAAATAAAAGTGAAGATTATATACGAAATAAAAGTGAAGATTATATACGAAATAAAAGTGATTAGTTAGCCCGCAAGCTCCAGAATACGCGAGGAATTGAGGCGGAGATTTGCAAGCGTAATAGCAACGCCATACAAGAGAAAAAATGATAGACTTTGATTTTAAACATAAAAACGGCATTTAAAAATAAATGGAAAATGGATATTCTCAATAATATAAGGAACTTAATCCAACTTTTAAATCCACGGAACATGGAGGAATAGAGCGGGCAAGCAGAGCAAACGGGGATAAAGCCAACCTTATGACCTCTCTGTCGCACAAGTTGAAATTGTGTTTGGAATTTGGATGAGAGAGTCAAGCCTCAATCATCACAATGTCTGCTCCATTGACTGCTCATGATACATAATTCTCATGCTCCTCACGTAGCCGGTGGATCAAAGTGTTAGCTTCTTCACTTGCTTTGGTCTCTCCATTCTAGCGTACATGAACTGATTGTTAGCCCAGCATGCAGACATCTGACGTTGAAACACTGTCGATTACGGTTTGATGTCAGGTTGAAATGTTGATTGACCAAAATTACACATAAAATCAACGTTGACGCGCAAACAACTATCAAAGAGACGTGAAACAACTTTATTTCAACAACAAGTTTTATTGAAACATCTATCTGCATGCCTTATACGATGGAACAGATCAGAGAAAAACGTCTGAGCAATTAGGGTTTGACAAACAAAATAACTGGTTTGATAGTTATTATCATAAATACAGTACAAATTTCTCATGATAACAAAAATGAAAAATTTTACTATATTTCTGAGAGCAATTTACAAACAACACTCAGAATTTCTATTGGAGAGCTCGAAATATCTTATCATAATCGTTTCTATCATTGTTTCGTAGTCTCCAACTGAGAATAGAATGCGCTGCAATGCTCGATCTGACAATATATTTTCATAGATTTGTTATCTTTCAGTTTGAATGCAAACGTAGTTATACATTTGTTAAGGCCTAGTATGAGAATCCAATAGTCTTATCCGCTATTTTGAGTTGCGATGGAATGAATTTTTCGTTCTTTTATTTTGAGAAGACGACAATATTTCGACTGGGCAGCACAGTTTCTCAGGCTCGATAAAATTAATAATCGACGTTATTACTAAGATTATGTTTCAACACAAATTCAGTCATACATATTGAATTCAATAAACTAGTTTGTTTAAACATCGAATTATTATCGATGTTTAAACAAATGTTCATGCCGGTAGGATACTAAATCCTGATTGACAGATGTTACTCCCGACCAATGTCTCTTTCGGCAAATATGCATTCGAATAAAATATCTTTAAAGGTGGTGAAATTTCTAATTTATTTAATTCGAAATTTGTTTTTCGCTGTTATCTGTTATGGTCGGATAATTCGATCAAGCTATTAACTATTAAAAAACATTTTAATAGTTATTAAAATTTTTTATGAGAAATAAAATTATTATATTATTATATATAAATTAATAAAATTATTATTTTATTAAAATAGTTATTAAAATTTATTAATCGGACTATTAAAGAACATTTGCGTAACAATATTAGAGTTCCCAGTACCTGAATAGGCGGCACCCATATATATACATATAACCGGAAAAACCGCAGCGAAGTTGAAATAATTAAGGGTAGCGTGCCGACTTTGGTGAAGATTAGTATTGGTGCCAACACAAGGGCTAAAGAGTCACGCTCTGGTACTGCTCTAACTTCCCTTGCGTGGAGAGAGGAGGAATAAACACGAAGGAACTTTTCGTAGTATTCTGGAAATCTTCAGGCGATATACAAAATTATCCATAAAAAGGGCGCACAATTCATTGTTCGCCTTAAGCCCAAAAGCTCCTGGAGATAAAAATTGCACCTCAGGGAGTACTATTAGAAATTTAATTGACAGATATTTTGAAAATTCAATTGTTAGAATTTATATTTAAAATTTCCATCTTTTTTAAAGTGAAGAAAGAGTTTACTTCGCTCTGTACCTTTAATCTAGAAGAAGAGAACGAGCCTTGACAGCCGCCGGTTTTGCCAGCGAGTCTTGCCTTAAATTTCCTCTAAATCATCAACCTCATTCAATTGCATGCCATTCTCTTATACACTTGATTGGCCCAGTTTGTTCAAATTAAAATCTTAACTTGCTTCTCAGCAACCAATATTAATTCTATTTAACCGCATGAATTAACTTTACTGTCACTGGGCTAAAGCCCCGTTCACACGTTCAAACTTATTGTCAGTCTTGCATGTCATG